GCCTGCTCTCAAGACGCTCAATGTCTCCACGAACAGACTTACGTCGTTCCCTGAAGTATCGACCTGGATCAGTATGACGACGCTGCTAGTCGGCGAGAACAAACTCTCAACCTTACCAGAGGGTTTTGTGACGCTTCAACAACTACGTACTGCAGACTTTACGGGCAACGATATCACTCAGCTTGATGAGAAGATTGCCTTGATGGAACATCTAGAACATCTCACAGTCGCAGCGAACCCGTTACGTGATCGTAAATTCCTCACTATGGGCACCGATGATATCAAGCGCGATCTGGCATCGCGACTACCAGCTGAGGTCTCAGCCGACGTGGATGACGAATTCGAGAATGGTGTCGCAGAAGAGGCTCAGCCGAAGTGGCAACTTACACCCTCGGGCACACTAGACCTCGCGGACAAGAGTATGTCTGAACTAGAGATGGATGAAGTCACCATGGAAGTCATGGTCAACGGACTGCGTCAACTGCATCTGCAGCGCAACAAGTTCGAGATCATTCCTTCTATAGCGGCGCAGTTCGAACACTTGACATTACTCGATCTGTCTAGGAACAGCATCGAAGTTCCTCTGTCAGCACCCATCGAGCTTCCCCAGCTGCGCGATCTCCGTCTCGCCAGCAACAAGATCAACTCTCTGACGCATCTGACAACATACCTCACTGCGCCTCTCCTCGTAACGCTGGACGTATCGATCAACCGCCTCGCCGGTGCTCTTCCGACGCTCCACGTCGCCTTTCCTGCGCTCACCACCCTCCTCGCATCCGACAACAGGATCTCCGAGGTATCGCCCGAAAGCTTGCACAACCTTAGGATTGTGAACCTGGGCAACAACGACATCGAGCGTCTGGAACCGCGAATTGGATTGCTGCAGGGCACCCTGACAGGCTTTGAAGTGGAAGGCAACAAGTTCAGGGTACCTAATCGACAGGTCCTGCAGAAAGGCACTGACGCTGTTCTGACCTGGCTCAGAGACAAGATTCCCAGGGAGAGTTGGACGAGTGCGCAGAGTTCCAACACCGAGTTCTTCGATGCCGACGATGGTGGTTTTTGATTCTTGAGTTTTCTTATTAGGGTGGTGGTTTGAAGGTTCTTGTTGTGCTGGGTTTGGTCTAGAAGGCACTTGTGCGGTTTCACCTCTTTTTGGATACATTTTAGCGTTTTGTAATGTCTTCGTGTACATTGTGTGCTCACTACAGTGGAGTACTATAGGGATGTTTAGATTATTGTGTTCAGTTTGTTTCGAATGGATGTCGCGATACTTCCAAAAACTACCGTTCCCAGTCAATCGTATCAGAGTGATCAAGTTTCTCATCATCGTTGAGGAAGTAAAGTACCCAGTACAGCGATAAGAATGATGAGTATGCTCAAAGTAACCACACTCAATCGACCAGGACACCACGGTAACTTTCGCGACAGAAAACTGTGTTCCAGCAGCGGGTCGTCATGGGTGTTGCAGCGCAAGCCGATCTATCACGCTAGTGTCGGCGTCGGCAAAACGTACCGCCGAGAACTCGGTTGGCCCACTAGCGCTAGGAAGACTGTCGAAATTGGCGAGCGAACTTCAAGATTTCTTCCTCGACAGCCGTACGATAACTAACCCACAGGTCAGCCATCGAGGTACGTTTACCATCTCCGGAGCGCGCAATCGAACGAGCGCAATCAATACGAACTCGCCGTCGACACTGCGCGCTTCCATACACCCCCACGAGCGAAGGACGAAGGCTGATTAGGGCAGACAATCCGACACAATGGCGATCAAGCACAACCAGCAGATTCAGAAGAACCATTTCCACAAGGACTGGTGAGTTCGCGATTGGGACAATGGGCACGTTGATGACATTGGGCTAACATTCTCCAGGCAACGCTACGTCCGCTGCCACTTCGACCAGGTAATTCCCCTCTCACGTCGCTGAGAGTAGTGGCGCCTGTGTTCAGATTTCTGACAGTACGATAGCCTGGCAAGAAGAAGTCCAGACGCAATGCTCGCGTTGCCAAGGCTGCGAAGGTAGCCCCCAGGCCCGTCGACAAGCTCAGGCCCGTCGTCCGCTGCCCTACCATCAAGTACAACCGCCGTGTCCGCCCTGGCCGTGGTTTCTCTCTTGCTGAGTTGAAGGGTATGTTACTTTACCCAATCGCGCAATGCGCTCCTAACACATAGCAGCTGCCGGTATTCCCCGCAAGTTCGCCCGCACCATCGGTATCTCTGTCGACCCTCGCCGCCAGAACCTCTCCGAGGAGGGCCTCAAGGCCAACGTCGAGCGCCTCCAGGAGTACCGCAAGCGCCTCATCCTCTTCCCCCGCCGCAACGGCAAGACCAAGTCTGGTGACGCTTCCGCCGAGGACGTCAAGGCCGCCAAGAGCGCCGACAACCTCGTCCAGTCCACCGCCGCTGCTCTGCCCATCAAGAACGTCGTCCAACTCGAGGAGGGCCCCATCGGCAACTACGAGGCCACCGAGAACGCCTACCGCAAGCTCCGTGATGCCCGCTCCGAGGCCCGCCTTGTCGGTGTCCGTGAGAAGCGCGCGAAGGCTAAGGCCGAGGAGGCCGACTCCAAGAAGAAATAAGCTATTCACTGAAGTAGCTGCTTGGTTCTTTGCTATGGCTTACGACAATACAAAAGTCAGGATTACGATTCGGCAATGGGTATTCCCAGCGTGGGCTTTCCCAGCATGGGCGGCGTCATGGTTAGGTCTGTCAAAATAAATGACAGCATGTGAATGATACCTAGTTTTGCAAATGCAAGCCGTGCCTCCCATTCATCTATTCGTCGTTTCTTTCACTCATTTTCTCAGAACAACTTTTTCTCTCTACGCCCTAGTGCATTAGCGGCTTATTCGTGATGTGATGTTTGACTGAGCAGTATGAAATCACCATTCACCTCTAATTCTGGTATCGATGATACCTCTCGCAAACGGATGTTGCTAGCGCGGTTCTTGTTGCTATGAGCTCCCCCACCTCACGTTGTCTCCATCACAATACCACAACACCACGCGATAATCGCGCGGTATAAGCTACGAAGTCTTCAAGCACTCACTTGGTAAGTATCCCCAACAGCTCCCAATAAATCGGTAGTCAACACGCTCCGCGAAGATAAGCCCTGCACGCTCGACTCCTACCTTGTATCCATCTTAGTGTTGTATCGGCATCCGCACACTTTCTGAAGATCTGATGTATTCTCCTCACATCGTTTAAATCTGGGATATATTGATACGAAGCCTTACAGTTGCTGACTCGTTGTCCAGATCTCAACGTCCTTTTCGCTTTCACGCCTGTCTCAACATCACGGTAACTGTCAGTCTCTCTGACCTTTCCCCCCTCGAAAAGAAATCAGACTCAAATCCAAAATGGTGATCAAGGCCAAAACTCACCCCGCCGCGGCACAAGCAAACGAAGAACCGTGTGATCTCAGCGATCAATCAAGCACCAACACCAGCCCCATCATCTACACGCCCCCAGACTCCGGCACCGAAACCGACGCCATGGCATCAGCAGCAAGCAACAAGGGCGCCTCGCCTTCTCTCCAAGCTCCCGCACAGCCAGACGATGGCGGTGGTTCCTTCACCATCACCACGACTCACGGTCCCAAGCCCGTCCTTCAAGACCCCAGTGCCGCCAACATCAGCAAGCGCGAGTACATCTACTTCCTCCCTTACCCTCTGCCGCCAAACACCGAGATCCCTTACTCCATCCACCTCCCGCAGAAGAACCCGCTGAACCTGCCGTCTCACCAGTTCGAGCCTACATCTACTTTGGTACTGACAAGCCCCAACCACACCTTCGTCGACATTCGCATCTACAAGTCGTTCTCGAAGGACGCCGTCAATTCCAACAGCGCTGGTCCCGCGTCCGTCAAGGAGAGTACCAACGTAGGCAACTCCGCACACCTAGACTGGGCCTTCACCGGCACCTCCACCAGCGTACCCATCACACCTCCGCCCACCGGCCCACAGCACGGGAAATCTGCCAAGAAGCTCAAGGAAGAAACTTGGGTCAACGTCACACACTCTACTTGGACTCACTGGCTCGACTCACGTTTCCCCGTTGGCCACAAGAACATCCCTGTTGATGAGGGCGACATGTATCCCATCGCTCCCGGATTGACGCTGGAGCATGGACACGGATACCATCCGGCGCTTGGAGCGGTTAAAACTCACGAGGAGATGTGGAGGGATGTCGACGCCGTATCCACGAATGAGAAGGGCAGTATGGTATGTGTGGTTATGCGGTGCCAGGCTGATCACGCGGGTGTCAGAGGTGTGGTTGTGAGGCTGGGGCAGTACTGTCAGGGCATTCTCATGTGGGGTGATAAGGTTACTGTTGAGAGGTGGGAGTGGGAAGATGGTGAGGGAAAGACTGCGAAGGAGAAGATTGGTGGGAATGGTGCAAAGTCAGAGGTGGAGAAGTGGAACAGGACTGTGAGGGTGGGTGATGGTTTCTTGCCTTGTGGCGTTACCTTCAGGTCTGAGATCTTGAGTGTGGGCGCGGTTGTCAAGTTTCAGGACTTTGAGTGGATGGTGGAGGAGTGTTGGGAGTGGAAGTAGATGGGTTTGTGTGTGGGCGAGATATCTCGTGCGTGCTGAGTGCATGAGGATGAGAAGGGTCATGGAGCCGAGTTGACGAAGTTGAGATGGACTTTGTATAATAGCATGCGATACGGATCGCGATGGGTAGGGATATCTACATGTTATTGACAGCAGTGAAGACCCGAATCTTATGAGTTACACAAACGCTGTCCTGACCACTGAGCATACACCAAACGGTGAACGTGCCGCTTGAGCTCAGACCTAAGAGCGCACGTCAATCGCCATTGCAGACTTCCCCGCAACACAGAAACTGTGATTAGCATCGACGATTGCAAAGTTTCGGGCCCTTCAATGCGATACTCTAGTCTCGATTCATTGAAGCATTGCAAATCATCATGCACCTCATAAGCAGCTTCCTTCTCCTTGCATTGTGGCGGCCCCACGCCCTGGCTTCTCCTACTATGGACACAACTTGGTCCGCCGTTCAGCAACCTCTAGCTCCTCAAAGAGATGTATTGAAGGGTGATGATACAGTCATCCTGGGTGCAGGTGTCATTGGCCTCGCGACGGCCTACCAACTCGCACTCGCTCACCGAAAGACCGTCAATGCGACATCCAGCCCGCACGGCAAGATCATCGTCGTCGAACGAGCTGGACATATCAGTCCTGCTGCTTCTGGTCAAGCGACAGGTGGACTTGGAGACTTTGGCTTCGCGAGTGGTGTCGCTGATTTGGGCGCTCTTTCTTATAGGTTGTTTCAGGAACTTGCGCTCGCGAATGGAGTGAAGGAGTTCGGCTTTAGTGAGTCTATGATCTATCGAATTATTCCAGATAACTTCACGGGTACGCTTAAGCCGCCTGATACTTGGGGTCCGAGTCCCCCTGTGGAACAGCCTTTGTCTGCGCTCCCTGACTGGATCAAACCCAGGAGCAACTGGTCAGTGCAGCGCATGGCTGGGCCACCTCATGCATCGCATCTGTATGTCTACCTCTCTACCACGATAAGTTGGACTAACCGATAAGTGATCCCGCACAATTCTGCCAGTTTCTCTTCAACGAGTGCAAGAAGCTGGGCGTAGATTTCATCTTCAACGCGAACGCAACATCAGTCAAGGCGGCACCAGCATCGAAACATTTCACAAGCATCCAGATCGGGCAACAAGATCGCGATCCTCTCAACATCCCCTGCAAAAGCCTAGTCATAGCAGCAGGCCCCTGGTCCCCACACGTCTTCTCAACACTCTTCCCCAACGCATCCCTCCAACTCCCCATGAACTCCACAGCCTCAGCCGGAAACCACTTCCGCGTCCGCACACCTAATTGGAAACCAGAGGACGATCAAAAGGGAAGTCAGCAAGTCTTCTTCCAGAGTGAAGTTCCAGGCAAACAGGGTTTGGACATCACCAGTTTCCCGGGAGGTGAGTTGTACGTAGGTGGGTGGGGAGCGGCACCGGAAGAACTTCCTGAACTTGCGGAGGATGTGCACGCGCAGCTGGGTGAGATTGAGAGGATGAAGGCGGTTGTGAAGGGGTATTTGAGGGTGCCGGAGGATGAGGAGTTGGATGCTTTTGAGGTGGGGAGGTGTTATAGGCCGCTTTCGACGATCGGGCATGCTATTATAGCGAATGTGGACTGGGAGTTGCTGGGTTTGGAAGATAGCTCGCAGGATATGCCGCGTCTTTCGACGCAAGACGGAGATGATCAGAAGGATCGATTCGGTCCTGGGGGTTTGTTCCTGAATACGGCTCACTTTGACGATGGTGTGACTTTGTCGCTTGGAAGTGGGAAGGTTACGAGCGAGCTAATACTGGGTCTGCCACCTTCGGTTGACATTTCCGGGCTGGGACTGAGCTGAACGGACTCTACCATCTTGCAGATGAGAAGAATGTAGTTCTTGTTTGACATCTGGATCGTGGGGTTATTACACGTAAGAAAAGAGCTTCTACGTATACGAGTGTTGAAGTAGTGATCAAAGGCGGGTAAAGTGAAGGCATCCCAACAGCCATCGAGCTTTACAGACACGAAATTCGATGAAGGCGGGAAGTAAGAAATTCTGTGATAGGGTTTCTCTCATTTTTGTTGGCGAGGTAACCGGTAGTCCACCGCTCCTTCCCCAAGGGTACGGCGCCAAGGCTGCCTAACGGTCGACAAACGCTTTCAAAACAACATCGCCAGCGTGACGTGCTCTCTTCTACCATTCGTCACCACCGGCTTCAATATTCTGATCCGCTTTACCAAGAGCTCAATCGTCTTCGACTGTCCGAAGGCGGCATGAGTGCCAACGAGCGAAGTGATGGTCTGCTCAGGGCCCTGCAAGACTTGCCAGAGGCGGACCGCGATCGAATAGTGAAGCATCTTCCGCCCGAGGAAGTGCAGAACGTCTTCTCACTTCTCCTTCGCAAGCAAGACAGAGTTTCGCGTAAGTTCAAAACTATCGCCTTTGGCACAAATGGTGACACAAGCTGACTGATGATAGTTCCGCAACCTCAACCTCCCGTTCATGCTACATCGAGTGCACCACAGATGGCCCCTGCAGATGAGCCAGTTGCTGCTCCTAAGAGGCGAAGGAGTTCTGCGGCGAGCTTCGATGACTCAAAGCGAGCAAGGACCGATGCAGCTGAAGAGCAAGAAATTGTCACTGCTGCGGCGCACTTGGAAGTGAAGAAAGAGCAAGTGCCAGCAAACGCTGAGGTGGCTGGACAGCAAGAAAATGGCAATTCTACCGCGCGTTTACCAGTGAAGAAAGAGCAGAAGATCATCGACCTCATTAGCGACGACGAAGAGCCGGAACATGAGGTCAATCACCAGCAGAATGTTGGAGATAGGTGGACGCGGACCTGTATACGAAGGCTGCCAAAGCCCCGAGCGGCTCGGGAGTCAAACGATCTATCTAAGCAGCGGAAGCCTCAAGCGCATCGGGAGCCTCGTGATCTACCGATGTACTTGCGAGTCTGCAACGAGCGGGGCCAACATGTCTTGAAGGACTTTGACGACCTTCCGGTCCTTGTCCAGGCCGAGCTGAAGCGACGCTACGAGGAAATGCACTCATCTACTAAGGACAGGAGGGATTATTACGCAGGTTGCTCCCTCAAACCGGAAAATTACACAGACGATCCGGACAAGCAATTTTGCATCCGCAACACCATCGTCCGTGGGTCGGGTAAAACCAGGCAGGTCTTCAGCCAAGGTGGCCATTTCAAGGCTACGGCGGATGACAGATGTATCAATGCTGGTTCACCTTGTGCTCACTTCCACAGGCACGAGCTCAACCGTGATTACATCATTCGCCTAGTACCCTTGCCGAGCACTCTACGCCAGGGCAAGAACTGGAGGGATCTTGGGTACTGGGTGCTGTGAGAGAGCGGATGGGAGGCTCTGCAGACTATTGGTTAGTCGGAACAGCGGTCGGAAGCTTCTTCGTTCGTTTTGTTGACTAGGCAATGAGAGGCTGCTATGGAGGAACTCGCGAGATACGTGCCGCTCTCTGAAGATCACGATGGAAGCACACCACCTGGCTATATCTACGATGCCAAACGACCTCACTGGATAGAGCAGAATTTCAGTCAACCATTGAGCATTTCACCTGGACTTACAGATACCCAAACCGTGATGAGTGTAGACCATGAGCTGACTCCTTGATAGCCGCCGCCTTCCGTATTTCGTTGAAGTAATCAGCATTAAGAACACAAGTCAATAGCGCTTGAGCGCGTCCATGTCCATCTTCGATTATCCCCAATATTGCCTCACTCCAGACAACACCCCATCTTCCTCGGACACAGTGGATAGCACGAATGACACTGCTCGAACCGATGGTCTACTGGTCGATCTTCAGCAATTGACCGACCGAAGCGGGCCGCGATCATGTATTGGCAATGTTTGCGGCGCAGGAGGTACGAATCTCTCTTTCGTGTCGTTGCCCCCGGATAGGTGGGTAGGCTGGGTTTGAAGGAGACTGACTAGTGGATAGGGAGTAGGCAGCTATTGTATGTGAAGCCTGCGGTTCTGGTCAGTCAGAGGAATTCCGTTGTTACGAGAGAATCAAGAGAATGACAAACGCCTTGGATGAAGATCTTGTGAGGTAATTGTAATACACTTACAGATGTCTGAAGTGTCGTGAGCGTGAACTGAATACCGAATCCACGAACGCCGATGCTATGCAATGCGGAAAGGTTCGGCTATGACCTTTTTCCTAGGTATAAGTAAAGTGACAATGTCGATGTCAACACAAGAACGATGAACGCGTGTCTCTCACACAGCATCCACAGCCACCCAACCACCGCTCCAGATGCCATCTGTTCTGCATCCAGGACAACTCGCGTGATCGCATCCGGTTGGCTTTGTGAAGTCGTACTCCTCCCAAGTAATCTCCTCTTCTCCATCTTTATCTGCCATAGGCACATCCTCTTCCTTCTTGACCTCAGCCTCTGCAACAGGCATTGCAGCGGCAACCGGTACCTCTATATTCCTCTCAGACACATCCTCAGTCTTCACAACCACCACCTCACTCTTGTCCTCCACACCATCCCTCCCACCAACCGCAACACCCACCTTCTTAAACCTACCCCCCGCCGCAGCATTCCCACCACCCCCAATCTTCGTAAACCGACTCCCAACCCCCGGTTTCTTATTCGCATTCTCCACATCTATGCTCCTCATCTCCAGACCCTGCTTCGGCTTATTACTCTCGGTGTCGTTGGAGGCAGTCAGTTTCTTCATGTCGGCGAGACGTTGGCGGTGGTTGTGGTCGTAGGAGCGGAGGTGGTTTTCGTAGTCGAGTTGCCGTGGGTAGCCTTTGTCGCAGATTGTGCAGTTGAAGAGGCGGACTGCGGCCGGGAGGGGGTTGTTTCGCTGAGAGGGGTGTTAGTGATGCGTGGGTGAGGGTAGGGCTGGGGGAGACGTACTGGTGGCATGGTCGCGTCTGTGTGAGGTGTACCGCGTTGAAGGGATGTGAGCAAGGTCCTATATCACCAGTGATAGCGACTCCGTAAGCGATCCGTCCGATCGTGTGATACCGGGGTTGTTTAGTCGTTCAGTCGCGTAGTCGCGTGTGGTGATAGAACATTTGGTGTTGCGGCTCAACAGCACGCGCCTCGGCTCAAGCACGCAGCGCCCCACTTATATCTTCACCGAATCAACGTCATTCCATGTCTCAGCAACGTAGCATTTCCCTTACCTCGCAACACCACGACACGACCCACGAGATGGAGAAGAGTCCGGGTCTACCGCCGGTAGAGGATGAAGAGATGGGCGTCATGGGCCTTACCGAAGTCGACCCCTCGCCTGTTGACACACCAGAAGAGTTGAAAGTGAATCAATATTTCCCGGTTCCGGATGAGGAACGGCCTGAGAAAGAGACGGAAGAGATGAGAGGCATAAGGAGGATGAACACTTTGGGATTGCGATTAGGTGATCATGGACCCGCTTGGTGGCGTACGTCTTCCTACAATCCCCATCTATGGAGCTGCAATGCTGACACTACTCCACCACAGTTCTCCGCATACAAAAGTACTCCTCCTACACCTTCACCGCCTTCGCCGCCCTCCACATAACAAACGTCTCCATAATACCGCTCGCCACCCGCTCGGTCATCGAATCAAACCGCTACCTCCTGCTCACACGACCATACTACCAATCCGCGCTCACGGAACCCCTCCTCGTTGGCCTCCCCCTCGTCGCACACGTTACCTCTGGAATCGCACTACGGCTATGGCGAAGGCGACAAGCGCTGAAACGATACGGTGCAGAGACACGAACGGATAAGCGCACGATTCCTTGGCCGGCATTGAGTGGAACTAGTGCGTTGGGTTATGCTTTGGTACCTTTTGCTAGTTTCCACATTTGGACTACGAGGATTCTTCCGTTGTATGCGCATGGCGATTCGTCGCTGATCAATCTGCAATATATCTCCCATGGTTTTGCACTACACCCTGCTGTTTCCTTCACAGGGTTCACAGCACTGGTAGGAGTCGGCGTGTGGCATTTCGTCTGGGGCGCCGCAAAATGGTTGGGTTTCGCACCCAGCCAGGTCAAGCACACGGAAGAGAACAGAGCTTTGATCCGGAAGAGGAGATGGTACACTATCAACGGCATTAGCGCGGCTCTGACAGCACTGTGGCTAGCGGGCGGTTTGGGGGTTGTTGGACGAGACGGCAAGATGGTAGGCTGGGTAGGCAAAGAGTATGACGAGCTGTACAAGTACCTTCCAATCGTTGGGCGATGGGTAGGACAATAAGAGGAGTGTGTGGTGCGAGTTTTGCATTGTAGTATACCCTTGATAGCGCATCGACAATAGTCTACACTTTCTCGCAAGAACACTCGACTCCGCTTTCTCAGTAATCGATGTATATCCTTCCTTCCAGCGGTCGTAGTACTGATCCCGTCGCCTTCCCATACGAACTCACAAGCAGCTTCGAACCCTCGATGTCATGCTCGATCCCCTGTTCCTCGGTCGTAAAATTCAACACAACAAGCGCCATCTTCCCCTCACACCTCTTCCGATAAACAAACAGATCCCTCCCCTCCGGATCCACCAACTCAAACGACCCATACACAAAGACATCTTTATGCTCCTTCCTCAAGCGGAGTACTTGCTTATAAAACGAAAGCACACTCCCCTCATCCTTCTCCTGCACCGCCGCATTGATACTACCATACTCGTCATGCACCCTCATCCACGGCTTTCCCGTCGAAAACCCACTGTTGGTACTGTCATCCCATTGAAAAGGCAACCGCGCATGATCCCTAGCCATGCGCTGTAAACCCCTCTTTATCCGCTCTTTACGCGTAGGATCCGTGCCGTTCTCTGCTAACCGCACGGCTTCGGCCCAGTAATTCTGGCTTTCGACGTCTTTATATTCGCTTTCTATATCCCACGTGGCTGGCGCGTTGATCATACCGATTTCCTGGCCTTGGTACAGGAACAGACTGCCCGATTGACCGATTAGCCATAACGCGAGCAATTTGCCGCTGGCGACCCGCCATTCGGGTGCGTCGTTGGCGAAACGGGAGATACTGCGGCCGTTGTCGTGATTTTCGTTGAAGACGGTTGTCCATGCGTCTGTACCCTCGATGAAACATTGCCATTTCTCTACTATGCGCTTCATTCCTGGTAGTGTCCAAGTAGCGTAGTCGTACTTGTTGTCAGAGCCTGGCGGGCCTTGCCCGAGGTGCGTGATGTCGAATTGGAAAACCATGTCTAGTTCCTTTTGTGCGGCGCTGATGTAGGGGAGGACGGAGGACGGGTCTGGACATAAGGAGAGTTCGCCGACTGTTACGACGGGTTGGTTGTCGTAGGTTCGGTAGTGTGAGAGGACGGTACGATTCATTTCTTTGATGAACTCGTGGATCCGGGGCCCGTTACACCACATTTGTGCGGCGGGTTGGATGGAGCTGGTTGGGTCGGTGATGGGCGCGTCTGCGAAAGGGAGGACTTTGGAGTACTTGTTTACGGTGTCTACGCGGAAGCCGTCGATGCCTTTGTCGAGCCAGAAGCGCATTGCTGAGTCGTAGATCGCTTGTCGGCAGTCTTCGTTCTCCCAGTTTAGGTCTGGTTGAGATTTGTCGTAGAGATGAAGGTAGTACTCTTCCGTATGCTCATCCCACGTCCAGGTTCCACCGGCGAAGTATGAGCGGTAGTTGGTGGGCGGCATGCGATTCCCTTGCTCGTCGTAGCGTGCTGGTCGCCAGAAGTACCAGTCTCTTTTCGGATTATCTCTAGAACTCCGGCTTTCCTGGAACCAAGCGTGCTGATCGCTTGTATGGTTTACAACTAGGTCGAGGATGATCTTCATATCGTTATCGTGGCATGCTCTGATGAGTTCCTCCACATCCTTGACAGTGCCGTACGGTGCATATACGCCTTCATAGTCGGAAACATCGTAGCCCTGAAATATTGTGGCGCGAGATCAGCGACGGTCTATATAGATCTCGTAAATCATGGTTCTTACCATATCAATCTGCGGTGAGTCAAACATAGGCGATAGCCATACCACATCTACACCAAGGGACGCGATGTAGCTGATCTTCTCAAGTATACCCGGGATATCTCCCCACCCATCGCCATCACTGTCCTTAAAAGATGCCGGGTAGATTTGATAGAACGTTGCTTCCTTCCACCACACGCGTTTGTGGTAAGAGAGGTCCACATGTGGTGACATGGTAATTGACGGACAAATTATGTGCATTGAGCTCCGGGTGTCTGTGACTGTAAGATTCAGTGGATGCAGGCTATTCTTAAGCAGATATCATCCATGGATTGATGCGAAGTGTCTGGTGGAAGCCGGGGAGTAGCAAGATGAGAACCGCTTGGTGTACGGAGTGGGAGACGAAGGAGAGAAGTCATTGCAGGCTCCAGAAAAATACACTTTGGTCTGTACTCCGTCCCAATGATCATCGTCATGCAGTCCATTGTGACAGTCTCTGTCATTCGTCGTTATTGTGACCGCTTGTAAATGGTTGGCACCCTGGTGCGAGTCGTGTTAGCCCCGCAATGTGGCGGCCGTGTTCCTTCCGTATTGCTTCCGCATCGCCTCCGCCTTGGCTCCGGGAAAATCCATTGGTTCGATGAACCACCATAGGCCATCCGCGTTGCTTCCGATCATTTGGCAACGAAAAAACTCGCAAGTACGAGAAATTTGGCGGTCTCTAGTGCCGTTGGAGTAATTTGGGCCTAGTATGAGCGATTTCCATACCGAAGCTGGGGCACCATGGGGAGGTCCGAGGTGCTGGGCCCTCGCTAACCCGCATCAAAGGCAACCCTGTCCTGACCATGATCATCTGTGCTCGGAGATGGTTATAAGCCTGTCACGCCTCCTCGGTAATATGGCATCGATTCCAGTTTCTTTCACCCGAGCTGCCACTCATTGCGACAATGACAGACAAGGAATTTGAGCAACCTACGGCGACACAGCTCGCAGCGCCAAATGAGGAGGCGCAGCATGCAGCTGACGATGAGAAATCTATGAGCCTCGGTCAGGCGATCAAACTGTATCCAAAAGCCGTTGGTTGGTCAGTCGTTCTGTCGAGTGCTCTGATCATGGAAGGCTACGATCTCGCATTGCTGGGCAGTTTGTACGGCAGCCCTCAGTTCAATCGCAAGTACGGAGTTCTCAACGCTGCTACTGGCAAGTACAGTGTTCAAGCCAGTTGGCAGAGCGCACTGTGAGTATCAAAGACACGTTACCCGAGGTTTTGTTGTGGCTGATAGCGTCAGATCCAACGGAGCACGAGCTGGCGAGGTCATCGGTCTTGTCATCAACGGTTTCGTTAGCGAGCGGTATGGGTATCGGAAGACCATGATAGGTGCCCTGATATCGATGACTGCTTTCATCTTTATCCTGTTCTTTGCGCCCAATGTTCAGACTCTGGTCATCGGCGAAGTCTTCTGCGGGATCCCGTGGGGCATGTTTCAGACCCTCACAACGCAGTATGCATCGGAAGTTGCACCTGTACGTCTGAGGCCGATTCTGACCACGTTCGTCAACATGTAAGCACTAGCTTTCACTTTCTCCGAGACCAGATGCTAATGACTTTCCAGGTGCTGGGTGATGGGGCAATTTATAGCTGCAGGTGTAAACCGAGGCTGCGTTCAACGTTCAGACCAATGGGCGTATCGCATCCCTTTTGCCGTGCAATGGGTCTGGCCCATACCGATCATGGTTGGTGTCTTTCTTGCACCTGAAAGTCCGTGGTGGCATGTTCGTAGAGGCGACAAAGTAGGCGCTAAAGCTGCATTGCTTCGTCTGACCTCGCCGGAAAAGGATCCGAACTTCAACGCCGACGAGACGATCGCCATGATTGAGCATACCAACGAAATGGAAAAGAACATGTCAGAAGGTACCCGATGGACGGACCTGTTCAAGGGAACCGATCTCCGACGAACCGAGATCGTATGCTTCACCTGGATTGCTCAGACAATCTGCGGGACCAACATCATGGGTTACTTGTCAGTATTAGACGTGAAGTCAGTAGGAACTCTGGGCTAACATCAAGTAGCGCATACTTCATGCAGAAGGCGGGCCTCCCCACCGTACAATCTTTCAACATGTCGATGATCTCACTCGCCCTTGGCCTCGTCGGTACTGCTGGCTCGTGGTACCTCATGCAGAAGTTCGGTCGACGAACGATCCATTTCTCCGGCGGCTGCACACTCTTCATCATCCTGATAATCGTTGGATCATGCTCTTTTGCCGGTACCCAAGCCTCGAACTGGGCTATTGGCGCGGTGTTGATTCTCTTCGTCTTCGTATACGACTTCACGATCGGTCCCGTCACCTACTCAATCGTGTCGGAGATGTCATCCACAAGATTGAAGGCCAAGACGATCGTACTCGCGCGAGCGCTGTACAATATCTCGAATATTGTGGTCAACGTACTGACGAACTACCAGCTTGGAGATGCCAACTGGGCCTGGGGAGCGAAGACGGCGTTCTTCTGGGCAGGTACTTGCGGCTGCGTTGTGGTGTGGGTGTACTTCAGGCTCCCAGAACCGAAGGGTAGGACGTATGGGGAGCTAGATATGTTATTCGAGCAGAAGGTCAGCGCACGGAAGTTTGCTAGCACGCAGGTCGACCCGTACGGGCATGGGCGTGTCGCGGATGAGAAGGCTGCCGTGGGCTCGGAATGGAAGGAGTGAAAATAGGCTTAATTGCGGTGCTGATATAATAGTTTTACGCGTCTCAAACGGTAATGAGCTATGTTCGCAGATGATTGTTCGTGTTAGCGATGTCTTGCCTCTCCAGTGACGCGCATCTGCTTAGACATTAGTGTGTTGACATGACGTAAGCAGCCTCGGCAGCACGCGACGCGTCTGACCAGCCCGCGGGCTGCCTCGGGCTGCGGCCACTCCACACAACGCCTCCTCACATCTCTAATCAACATCATGAACCCCACGTGGACACTCGAGCTTGATGCAGAACACCGCGTCTAGGACAGTCTACCGGAAACAAGTTGCAAAGGCATGTGACCCATGTCGCCGCCGCAAAACCAAGTGCAATGGCGTACAGCCTTGCGCAGGATGTTTATCGGCAAAACTAGCTTGCACCTTCAATGCACCACGGGGTCAAGGAGGTCGCACAGGTCCCAGGGCTAACGTACTCAACGAATTGAGAGCGATACCCCATAACGATGCCGACGTCTTCGACCCACAGGATGCTGCACCGACCGCGGTCGTTACCGCCGCTGTGGAATTGACAAGGGAAGTCTTCAAAACGTTGGTCGACGTCTACGAGAAGCGCATATACAGGATAATAGCTCTCGTACCAGCCGAAAGACTGCGAGAAGAGTTCATGCAGATGCAGACTTCGCCGACATCTCGACAGCTCATATATGCCTTTTGCGCATACATGGCAAACTTTGCGGAAGCCTCCACTAATGCCAATTGCGGATCTACACAGTCTTCACAAACGCACTCACAAACCTACTACTTAGATCATACCTTGCTCTCGCTGCAGCGAGATAGGATTACGCAGCTTGACCATCGATCAGTTTATACCTCCTTCTTTCTGTACGGAGCTTACGCTGGCCGAGGCGACTACCGTCAAGCATGGTTCTATTTGAGAGAAGCAACAACCCTGTTCATGATGCTTAAAGACGAGGACAGGGATTGGTTCGACATGAAGACAAGGACACGGCTGTTTTGGATTTTGGTAGTGTCAGAAAGGTACGCTAAATACTTCCCGTCTTTCCCACGTCTGTTCCCCCACTTCGATGCATCGTGGTTCATCATATGCACTTCCGACTTCATGATATCATTTGTCCCTTTCTCGTCTATCCAATCCCACCTGCGAGCGAAGACAGCGACGATTCTCAGTACCCATGGGCATCGTGATGAGTGTATTGCTTACTAGTTGTTAGAGCGCATGGCGTTCGTAGGAATCGGCCCATCACACTATCTGTCACTTCCTCAAGCTACCCACTCGATGGTCATGATGATCTTGGCTTGGTCCACCTCGCATCAGTCTTCCGACCGCTCGATGAAGTCTTTTTCGCAGTGTGGAACGGTGCAGCGCAAAACTGCAGTAAAGAGTGGTTAATCCAGCTCGAGAACGATGTTCGCACCGCACTGCCCACTGATCTCGAACTTTCGAACGAAGAGATTGCAAATGTTCGCATATCGCAGTTCTGGCTACAGATCAAACTGTGGGAGCTGTTTCCCCGCTTCGGGTTTCTCTCCACAGAGTCTGTTTACGATTGCTTAACATTCAGATACCCCATTCTGGTTGGCAAAGACTTGACCATTCTCTCGATGAAGCTACCCGTTCAGAGTCTGCAGATACATGGCGTCGGCATGGTACGTCATTCAGCCGCAAGCTTGTCTCATTGCTAACAACCTTAGACGGAGAAGGTATTCGACATAGCCTGCGCTTTAGCGGACGTTCTTCATTTCGTGCCTCAGTCTGCATCACATGCCGAACTCAGCCCCCCAGATTACTTGACCCAGTTGATGCTGTTGATAGCAAAGCTACCGGGCGGCTCGTCTAAGTTCATACCTTTGCTGCTAGCCAAAGTCAATGAACTACTTCCGGATCTGCTGGAGCACGTATGCGAAGCCATTCAAATGCCAATCCCCACCAATCACAACCCTATGAGCCCAGACACACGATTTGTATATGAAGAGGAGGTTGGTAGAGGCCTTCACGCAGACTTGAGGAGGACATTTTAGCGGGAAGGAAGAAAGATGCATTCGTAAACTACAATCGGGACAAACCAGACTGGGTCTCACGAACATATCCAACCATAGGACATCGGACACGACCCCGAAGTACTATCCTATCCACCTCTACATAAAGAGTACCGACCGGTCTGGACTTCCCAGCGACCAGCGCCAGGACAGCCCGCCGTCGACAACACTCAAACCCAAACCCCAAGCAAAAAGAAACAAGAAACCCTGACCATCCCAACGACCAGCGTCAAGATGGCCCACCGCCAACCACAACCCCACCAGCATGGCGACCAGCGCTCATGCGAACCTCGGCCTCAGTGCCCGCCGGCGAGAGATCGCGCCTTCGATGTCGCCATCAATCACCGTCTCCAGCCCACCACCAGGGCCACACACGAAGATGAGCTCGCTGCTCAGGCGGTTGTATCTTGTGTCCCTCTTGGACACCACTGTGGCCTCTGGCTGCTTGCACATCCAGGGAGGTCGCTCGCCAGGGTGATCCCTCATGTATGCGAAGGCTCGCTCCAGTTTCGTCGTCTGACTCTCATGAGTGAACCAGCGGACAAGCGGAACGGCAACGGCGAGGAAAACGGCGACGAAGGACCAGAAGAGCGCGGTGCGGAGGTATTGCCAAACGAGATCGATCTCGTATGCCTTTCGGCGGCGGAAGGTTTCGTGCCAGTCTGTGAAGCCCGACCCAGGCACGTCTGGGTCGAAGCGGTATCGGTCGAAGAAGAGGTCGAGGATGCGGCCGAAGGTGTTTTCCCAAAATGGGTCGTTTAGGCCCGCCAGCAGGCCAAACGACACCATCATGTAGGTGTTGTGGGCTTGTCGAAAGGAGATCGACAAAGAGAGTCGGTGGATGAGGACGTGGCCTAGGGCCCAAGAGAAGAGGGTGCCGATGGCGATGCGTAGCTCATTTGAGCTCGCGGCGAAGATGGCGATGAGCACCAGGCTCAAGAAGATGCGCAGCTTGTTCTGCGGGGACAGCATTGTCGCTGTTGTGGTGGTGGTGGTGATGATGGTGATGATGGTGGGAAGAGGGAACTTGGAAATGTCTTGAAAATGAGCAGGTGTTGTGTTTGCTGAAGAGCAAGAGATGGAGGCGGATGAGCTGTTTATATATTACTGGCTTCTGCGCGAAGATGAGATGGCTGACGATAGCTGCTATTGTTACAATAGGTACGTTGCTGTCTTCACTTCTACTTTCTACAATACCAACTGAACAATAGCGAACTCATGAAAACCTCGCCTTCACCCCGGAACGCCAACAAAGATCACAATAATAGGAAGTTGACGAAAGACAGGGGTCTCGAAGTGCCTCACCTTCACCTTCACCCCAGTGTCACGCAGACCCCAGGAACACACATGTACGCTGCTCACATCAAGACGCGCACCCATGTATACCTCAGCCCTCACCACCCCACTTCCAATCGTCTCTCGAACCTCATCGTATACCCCAACCCCTCCCCTAATAATCACTATACCTCCTCTTCGACAGCGCGCTCACCCTCGACACCCGCCTACTCGCCACATCAAGCCCCTCCCCCTCAACAAACAATCTATTATGCACTATCCAGTCCTCAAACTCCTGCTCCCTCCTCTCTTCATCTGGATCAATCCAATCCCCCATCTCACTTCCTTCCATGGTAGTATTAGTAGTATCGCTCATCCTGTTCACAACTCCATCGCGTGACTGTGAGACCGAGGAACTGGATTGCTCGCGCCAGTGGTTAGGCAGGGGGCTTCTCCCACGCCCGTCGTCGTTGGCGGCGTCGATGGCGCTGGGATCGAGACGTTGGATTTGGGACTTTTTGTACTCGTGCGCTGTTTCTGCGAGGGCTTTTGCGCTGACACTGGTGCTGTTGTTGTTGTTGTTGTTGTTGGTCTTCCAGTTCCGGGGTAGTGTGTAGGAGAAGGCTGAGCGTATGCCACTTGGCTTGCGGCGGAGGGAGCCGCCTACGCGGCTGAGCCAGGTTTTAGGGCTGGTGTCTTGGTTTGGGGCTGCGGCTGCATCGGCGGGTGGAGGTGTGGCGAAGGGGGATTTATGGGGTAGTTCTTCTCCGCTGGGACGTTGCATTAGGTGGCAGGAGTGGTCGATGAGTGCGGGTTCTACGCCGTCTGGGAGTTGCTCGTACGTGGACATGCCGATGCTTACGCCGCGTTTGCGGCGGAGGGAGAAGAATCGTGTTGGGCCTGTGAAGGGGAGGTGCTGCGTTGGGGTAGATGTCAAGGGTTCGACATGTGACTGGTTGGTGTCGGCTTCGAGCTGTTCATTCCGCTGTGCGGTCTGACGGACTGCTTTCTTCTTGTCTTTGCGTTCTTGGTTGCGCTTTCGAATCTGTTGTTCTGTTAGTATGCGGTCTTTCTGAACAGCGGTGCGAGGGCATATCTCGATAGTAGACGCGACGCTCTTGCAAGAGATGTGTGTCAATGTTGGTAAGCCATATGCGTTACTTACTGTACTGATCAAACCCATCTTGGACATCCTGGGCAAAAGCCTCACAAAGTCCTTACCGTTGAAGATCAAGGATGAGGTTGCAAAGGAGAGCAGCGGACGTTCCTGAGTACAGCTGTCAAGCGCAACGTCAAGATGTCCACCGAAAGCTTGTGAAGTTTGGTACCGTGAGTGGGGATGCCGCCAACCAGAGGATGTGGTTGATCGAGGGTCCATGGACATGTCATGGTAGCCACCTCAACACATCATGAGCGTGGTGGAGATGTATTCTTCACGTTTCAGTTACTCTTGCTCCTGAAATTTGCTTCCATGGTAATCGTGTGATTTTTCGCGATCTCTTAAACTCAAAGCAACTCGGTGGCTCCAATGCTCACATGCATAACTCAAACTCACAGCATCTCGATATGCTACCGCTGAAGCTGTCCAGGAATTGCTGTTCCTGGTACCAGACGGTTTCGCCCTTCAACGTCCCAATCTGCGAAGGTCATCCACTGTCACTCCTTGACTATCAGGAATTGAAGGGAGTGGGTCTGTGGGCCGTGATTGAAATGAACCATGACCACCGCGACCACCAAGCATACCCCGACCACTTAGACCCCGAGTCATACTAGAAATACCTCCGCGACCACGACCACGACCGATATCAGAAAAAGTAGGAATCCGAAGTGCGGCCTGAGATGTCTGACTTAGCACACGGTTCGCTGTCTCGTCTGTGCTTGTTGCTTTGAGATCGATATTTGCGATAATGGCGATGCGCTCCAAACTCGTGATCTGCTTCTTGAATGCATCCTCCTCCTTCTGATATCTTTGCGCTATCTCTTCAAACTGGACGGCCTCTCTAGCTTTGAAGTCTGCTTTTGCGTCTTCGTAGTCATCTTCAAAGTCGCAGATGAGTTCGGATTCTTCCGAAAGTTGTTCTTTGAGCGAAGAGTAGAAGCTGGCGCTCGTAGATATGGTGTCCATCCAATCACGTTTCCTATGATATATTCTTGCATGGCTTTTCGAATAATCGCGGAGAATGTTAAGCATCTTTTTTTCAGCTTTGAACGCTGTTGTCGCTTGTTCGATTTCCCTGTCCTCTTTGCGATCATTGACGCTAATAGCCTCCTCGCAGTTCCGGATAGCGTCTTTGATGGCCTTCTTGAGATGCAAGCGCTGCTCTGCCGTGATGTTCGCCGCCGTCGCGCTCGGATCTTCCTGCGCATCAAGGTCAATTCAACGTTTGTCAAGAGGTCCGACATGACGCTACGCACTAATTGTAGCCTCTCAGTCAGCTCGCTCAGCCCATCGCTGCGATTGAAGCATTCCCTGAGCATCCCATCAAGAACAGAGGTCATACCCGCCTTCACTTCCTCGATCGTGGCCATTTCCATGGAGTTGCCTTGCTTTAAGCCCGCGATGATAGCGTTCGATGACATCGTAGGCTGATGCGACGGCCGAAGATGTGGGCGCGACGTTCGTCTCGGATGGTGTTGTGGTCGCGTCGCGGTGTGCGGAGTCAGAGAGCTTTCCAGAAAGAGCAAGTGCGACTAGCGCGAAATTGCTAGGCTATCGGTGAAGGTGTACGTGAAGACACACACTAACGAATTTACAGTTCTGCACATGTAGAGCTGACATCATGTTGATGGTGCTAACTTCTGCTATGCGACCTCATCAGCTCATCGAGTCGCGCAGCCTCTAGTCAGACTCAGAACTAGACGCAGACTCAGAGTCCTCCTCAAGCCCACCAACATCTCCCCACCGACTAATGACCTCACTCTTAGCCAGCTTCAAAATCGCCTCGTAGTACTTGATCTGCTTCATCAACATCTTCTCTCCATCCCACTGCCGCTTCACCACTTTCTCCTCATCCCTAGCACTGTGGTTCTCAAGCACCTTCTGCTCTTCCTTAATACGCACCAGCTCCACACGACACAAGTTATACGTCTTCTTCCATAGCTCTTCATTCTCGTGCTCCCACAGATCGCCGATGCCGATATAGATGGCCTTGATCCTTTTGTACTCTTTTTCAAGGTCTTCGGATGCCGCCTCTGCGGTGCGCAGTTCGTTCTGTTGTTCTTTGGCGAAGACTTCGTGGGCTGCGTCGCGCTGTGCTGAGAGCTCGGAGAGGATTTGCTCGCCATGCTTGACGAATTTGCGGAGGTCGGGCATGGGGGCTTTGGCTTGGAGGCGGGTTATTGTTGCGAGGGTCTGCTTTATGATTAGATGAGTGCAAGCTTGGATCTTGTTGTACTTACGATACGTAGTTCTTCTTGTAAATGGCTGCAGTTGAGACAGTCCTCCTGCACTGTGCTCTTTGCTGCTTCAACCTTCTGGCGCCTACCTGAGTTTGCGGCAGTGCTTGGCTTCGATCGGGCATGGCTGGACGCAGGCTCTCGGGCGTGTGAAGTAGAGTGGGCTGGCGTTGACGATTGGAGGCGGATGACTTGGGCTACCCGCTCGCTCAAGAGATCATCTTCCGCTTCCTCCCCATCTAGCTCAATGCCAGAGAGCTCAGCCATGTTGCGAAGGCATGCCATCTGCTGGTCCCATGCGGCACACTCTCCGTCATACACCTCCTCGGCCTTCTCGATTCGGGCTTTTAGAGTCGCTCGGATATCTGCTTTCTTTGTCTTGACCGCCTTGAACGAGTCGGCGATGAGCATCATTTCCTTTACATCTTCCTCGACAAGCGCGTTATGAGCTGGAGTGACGACCTGGTTCGTAGGCAGGCGAACGTGTAAGGCTATTCTTTTGCCCAGAATGACCTCTTCTGCCTTGATGTTTTCGTACCATTCGTTCATTGACTCGTTTTCGACGTTGAAGGATTGGTGTGCGTCTTTCATCGCGTCGTTTTTCTTGGTGCAGCTGTCGCTCTTAGCTTTCTCACAATCAGCGATGCCGTCTTTGGTGGTCTTTGCTAGCAGTGATCTGTCTTCTGTGGTAGACGTTCCGGCCGACTCTGGACTCTCCTAATATTTCAATGTCAGTCTCGCATTCGTGCAAAGTTGCGAGCAAACATACAGCAACTACCTCCATCTCCTCGGTCTGATTCAACACATCGTCGTGACCGTGATGCGCCTGCTGCGTGTCGTTCGAAGTTGGATGATCGGGTGAGCAATACAGTTCATCCGCGTTGCTGGATGGTTCACTCTCGCTGGAGGAATGATGCTCTTCGGGTACGCTTGGGCGATGGTGATTAGGACGCCGTAGTCTTTCTAGCAGCGCAAGGGTAGGGACTGTATACGGCTGATTCCCCCCAAGCTCGTCTTGTGCTCGATCGTCGTTATCACCAGAAATCTGCGCAGGCTCTACCGGTTCTTGGCTCTCGTTGTTGGAATGACGGTACACTTCTGCGCCCAAAATACCTTCACCTGGACGATAATATCGGGCATCGCCGTCGTAGAACCAGCCATCCAGGTCCCAGGGACTGTGGTCATCGCTGTCGTTATCGTAATCGCATGCCTCGAAATCACCGGCTGCTTCTCTGAGCCAGTCGTCTGTGGTATAGTTGTGTTGCGGCATCTTGCCAGCACTAACAGCGAAGACGCCGTGAGTACTTGTTGTGTGCGTGCACAATGTCGTGTTGTCGTGCTAGGTCGTAGCGTTCGGTACGGAGATCGCAGTGCCAGAAGAAGCTCCTGGGCCGCGCGGCACCCGTTATCTTCAGATACGGATTCATCGATGAAAGTGAAGATGAGAACCAGCAGCCTCATCACTCCCGGCATAGCCAGTGCGCACCCTCTAAGCCTTTATCCGTGCTCTTTCGCAAACTGGCTTCCGTGCCGATGCATGTTCGTTTGAGTAAGTCATCGTGAATCTGGCTCGTGTAGAGCACATCCTCAACTCGATGTAGGCGGTATGCCGGCTTTTGCGCAGTTGCTCAGCGTCGCAGGCATCTATGCCGTTCTCTCGGGAGAACCTTGAGCTGCAGCAATGCGTCCTGCGGAAGCGTAACGTTAAATGAGCGAGTAGAGCATAGAAAGAAAAGAAGCAACTAAAATGCGACTTTGGTGAGGAAGTAGACGCGAGAAGAAACTAAACCAGGCATACTGCACTCCCAGGTTCGAGGTGAGAGACCCTCAGTTGCTCATTGACATGGAAAAGCGGTGAGATACTAACATCTCGAGCTTCGAAAACAACATAAGAAAGAAGAGAACAGACGGTAAATAGTTAAAACCAAGTCAGCAAAACCCCTACCAATGTCAGCTCTTACCTCTCGTCCCCACTCACGTTGAACCCAACGCCCATACTATCACTGCCAGTCACCGCCCCCAGATCTGAACCGTTTCAAAATCGTTAGATGGAGTTGCAATAGAATACTTGTACATGCAATCGAAAATGCTCTAAACCAGCACCTACGCGTCTACCTCAAACCGAAAATTGACCATCTGAATCATACATAATCCGGTCCTTCGCCAAAACCAAATCTTCATATCCACATAGTTATCAACGTCATGTGTCGATTGAACACAGAACGCTGAGACCACTACGCTATCCTCTTGCCTTCGTACTCCATCTATACCCTAAGGAGCTTGGCAGCGTAATCCACAATCAAGCTCTCACTGGGGAAGCTCATCTCCTCGAGCTTCTGAGCATATGGTGTGGGCACCTCAGCACCAGTGACACGGGCAGGGGGCGCCTCCAAGTAGTCGAAGGCGTACTCGCAGGTAAGCGCCATAATCTCAGACGCGACACCGAAGGATGGGAAGCCAGACTCTACGCAGAGCATGTGGCCGGTCTTCTTGACGGACTTGACAATGGCCTCGACGTCGAGGGGCTTGATGGAGCGCAGGTTGATGACTTCGGCTTCGACGCCGTACTTGGACTTGAGTTGTTCGGCGGCGACGAGGGATTGGCCGACGCAGCGGGAGAGGGTGACGATGGTGAGGTCCTTGCCGGGGCGCTCGATCTTGGCCTTTCCGAACTAGAAGGGGGTGTTAGTTTGGGGGTGTGGTGGGGAGATTGGTGGGGTGTCTTACGGGAATGACGAAGTCGTCTCTCTGGGCCTCCTCGCTCATAGGGAAGGAAAGACCGTAGAGAAGCCTGAGGGTGTTAGTACACAGTCTCCCGTCTTGCAACTGTTGTGACCTACTCGTTCTCGAGAACCACGACCGGGTTGGGGTCGCGGATAGCAGCCTTCAACAGACCCTTGGCATCCTCGGCGCTGTATGGCGAAACAACCTTCAATCCAGGAATGCTTCCGTACCACGCAGTGTAATCTTGGGAATGCTGAGCAGCGACACCGGACGCGAAACCGTTGGGACCACGGAAGGTGATGTTGCAGGGCTGGATACCACCGGACATGTAGTGGGTCTTTGCGGCGGAGTTGATAATCTGGTCAATGGCCTGCATGGCGAAGTTGAAGGTCATGAACTCGCACTGTCGTCGCTGTCAGATTTGCTTTTTGGGTCATGATGGCTGAGGAACTTACAATGGGGTGGAGACCAGCGAGCGCAGCACCGACGGTCAGACCGGCGAAACCTGACTCTGTGATGGGAGAGTCGATTACCCTCTTCTCACCGAAGCGGTCGAGCAGGCCCTTTGTGACCTTGTAGCTGTGGCTCAGTCAGCACCATCCATTGATATTCCGTTGTGCATAGCCTGCGATATATTCTCTGCCCAATTGGACCCTCCTCTTCCTTATCGCAGACATGCCATCTTCTATGTTCATGGTGGGACGTACGCTCCGTTGTATTGCGCGACTTCCTCTCCGAGCACGAAAACCTTGTCGTTGCGCTCCATCTCCTCGGCCATGGCCTCGTTGAGCGCCTCTCGCACCGTCATCTCCTTCTGGCCCGACGCATATCCTCTCCTCGCAATTGACGGTGTAATGGCTGCGGCGCGGAAAGCTGGTCGGAAGGCGGGCGCTGGCCGCGACGCCGAGACGAGGCGGGAGGAGGGTCGGAGGAGCCTTGAAGCAGCCATTGTGGGGTGTGTGTGAGGGTGAAGGTGTGGTGAGGAAGTGCCGTGGGCGAGTGATGGCCGCTGAGGCTTGTGGTGGTTGCTGGGGCTTGCTGGACAATTTCTTGATGCGAAGATCCGAGTCGTTGGGGCCGGCGCTAGGCAAAGCTCTCGAGCAGGGACCACACTATAGCGAGAACACCCGACGTGCGTCTGGATGGTCCCTGGATGGTCCGCCTCAACAACGTCGCTTTCACCAGACAATCCACTCTTCCATATTGCATCTACTGGATCGTGATTCAATGTCGCTTGCAAATTGTACGATGATGATCAAAACATTCAGATGAGGATTACTTCTTCTATTCTCTATAGCACCACATTTCGCGTTACCATGACCGTCCCTAGACCATGCCCTACTTCCAAATATTACAGTATATATGCGCGTCTCCAATGCGCGTGATGCAAATGCCAGGAGATGATGCTCCTATATCGAAGGAATAATTCGCGGACTCACAAGGTCCTAGATGCGAAGAGAAGTCTAATGCAAAGGGCGAGAACTGGAAACTTATGCGTCGGCGGGTTTCCTTCCGACCATAAGGTACATGGGTGTGAAGAGCTTCTCCCTGCCACCAGCAACAAGGCAGTCGGCTGCGAGGGCAAGACTGTCGGCAGTCTTCTGGGTACCCTTGGGGGCGAGACCGATCACCTCAAGACCACCGACGAACTTGTGGATGAGGCCACGTCCGACCTTGGTCATGCGAAGAATGGTGGGGATGTCGCCAATAGTGCTGATGTACTTCAGCTGGCCAGAGAGCGGCCAGTACCACGGGTAAGGGTCGTCCCTGTCTGCCAGATCCTCGTTGTGCTCCATCACGAAGCCAGCCTTCTTCATAGCATCGAGCGCAACCTCAATCTTCTCCATGTTGGAGATACCGTCACCAATCTCGATTCCAAGACGGATCTCGCGGTGGTGGGGGTTGTCGTTGTCGTACTTGTCGGTCATGAGCCACTCGTATACACCAAAGACACCGCCGGGCTTGAGAACGCGGAAGATCTCGCTGTAGATGCCCTCGAGCGATGGTGCGTGGACAGTGGCCTCGATGGCGTAGACGGCATCGAAAGAGTTGTCGGGGAAAGACATTTGCTAGGACGAGTTAGTGAGGGATACCCAGGGTGTGTGAGTATATCGTACCATGAAGTCACCCTTGGTGAACTTGAGCTTGTCTGATAGACCCTCCTTCTCGGCGTAGGCAGTGGCACGCTCGATCTGGTAGTCGTTGTTGTTCAATCCAACGACGTTGACACCAGCGAACTTGACAATCTCACGGGCGGGTCCACCGACACCGCAGCCAACATCCAAGACGCGCATGTTGTCCTGGAGGTTCATCTTGTGGGCAAGGTAGTGCTCGTGGCGGGCAATGGCCTTGTAGAAAGACTCGCCATAGGCGTAGCGGGCGAAGTGGAAAGACTGTCCCCAGCCATACTCGTACAGGTCGGTTGCGAGGTTGTAGTAGTGTCTTGTGAGGGTAGCGTATTCATCTCGTCGTTCCTGGGTCTATTAGTAAACACGGTATGCAACAATGCCACATATGCGTACCTTGCGGGTCTCCTCGGTCTCGTCGCCAGCGGCCTTGTTGTCCCAATGCTTGAAGTACTCGTCGACAGCGGCTTGCTGGGCAGCCTTGTCCTTCTGCAACATGGCAGTCATGCCACCGCGAGCCTTTGCAGACTTGCCGTGCATGGCCTTGTTGAACTCGGCATCGCGAGAATGGTCTTCCTTTTCGAGCGCAATGGGAGACATGATGGGTATTAAGAGTGATATGGGGTTATGCGGGGAGTGAAGTGAATGAAACGGATAGTAGAATAAACAATTCGAAGAGGACAGGACCCTGAAACTTTATAAAGACGACCCCGGAGAGGAAAGAGCGGTATGGGTAGGAGATTGGGACTTGAATTTCTTAGGGGGTAACTGGCGTCGCCCAATCACGACCGACTCTGTACGCGGCCCTGGTCAACAGCGCTAGCGGTCGGTCGTCGCCACCCGAGCGCGTGAAAGCCAAGACCGTAAGAGGCGTATAGCGTAGTGCCTAGATTTCTACCGTCACTCCCATACCATCTGTCGCAACAACCACCGCGCCCCACTACGCGTACTCGACGTCCCCAGATTCGCTCGGCGAAGTCGCGAGATTACATTCAAAACTCAGCCACTGTCGCACACCCTACACAGCAGGCCTCACCATGCCGCCGCAAATCAAGAGCGACCTGAACCGTACGTCATGTCTTTTTCCACTGCGCGTAGCCTATACTAACTTTTGTAGGATCGGGTTGGGAAACTACCGACTTTCCGTCCGTCTGCGAAAAATGCCTGCCGGATAGCACCTATGTGCAGATGCTGAAGGAGGACTACGGCGCAGAGTGCAAGATCTGCACGCGACCCTTCACCATCTTCCGTTGGAAGGCCGACCGCACCGCGCGACAAAAGCGAACCAACATCTGCCTCACATGCGCCCGCCTCAAGAACTGCTGCCAGCACTGTATGCTCGATTTGTCATTCGGTCTGCCCATCGTAGTCCGTGATGCTGCGCTGAAGATGGTGGCGCCCGGCCCCCAGAGCGACATCA